GCATAAACTTGTTCTAAGATACGGCAAATTTCCAGTTACCATCATCGTTTACCCAACCCGCCTGCTCAAATTCACGTAAAAACGAACTACAAAACGATACTACACTTGATATTGACAGAAAATGTTGTGGATGTTACCTAGTTACCCATCAGGCCAAGATTACAAGATAAATCATGAATGACCGTAAGCAGCCGCTTTGACAAACAGTTCAGAAAATGTGCATCGAACGGTGGACCGGTGTTCGATTCATAAGCGGGTGCCGCAGTTTACGTGGTTAGGAAACTCACGCCACAAAGACACCGCCGGCAGAGTTATGTCCATTTCCCAGGGACAGTGGAGTCAGCTGCGATCACATCAGTGGTAGATATGCATACCAACGAGGACACGAACTCACTCCAGTAGTGTCTTAGGTGAATTCGACCACCAGGAAATCTGCTTTCCGCAATTCGGAGTACTCATCACAGAGTTCGTGTCCGCGAAATGGCTGTGGTTAGTTCCAGCGGTATTGTGTTCGGCCATTTCGAACAAAACCCGGACGAAGACCCGACACTGTATAGCTTCAGTGGCTGATGCTGAACTCTGGGTTAGGAAATGGTAAACAACGCATTACCCTCAACTACTCGTGCTAAGTAGACGTAAATGCAACCGCACAATTGTCGAAGACGACAGACACCGCTTCTGTAGACTGCAACTCTCAATTCGGCTGAGAACAAAGATGAATTGAAACCAAGAGAATAAAAGAGATCCGTTCATATCCCATCTGTCCATTCTCCCCCCCCCCCATCATCACCATTGCACAGCGTAATACAACGAAGTGAACTTCACTGATAGCTGCCGAAACCCATATTGCATATAAGTGAGAATGTGTACGAATATGGATTAGGTCTACTTTTAAGGACTGGAAGAGCAAGCGAACCCTTATGGTCGACACAGCCCAATTGTGCATTCTGGTCTGGTAAGAGGTAACAGCAAAATCGCCACTGCTGTCGGTTCGCATCCATGGCCATCAGTGTCTCCAACCATGCGGTTCCTGCGTCTTCCGAACCCCATCCCGGAAGACCAGAGACAACTTATCTAACTGATCGCTCTGCGCATACCTTAAAGCCTCGTCTCCAAGTCATTTGCACAAAAATAACCAAAACCAACCGAACTTATACCTAATCAAAATGCCGAGCCCTGAATGCGACATGTTGCCTTCACTTCGGTTCATCAGGACGAACGGGTTTAGGTGCACTAATCTCAGAATTCCACAGGTAACCCAGATAACTGTTTTTTTTTATACCAAACTGTTCGAGCACTTCGATATTTCAAGTATTTGCAAGTGAACCACTCATGACAGAGGACGATGAGAAAATGCGAATCGGACGTCCATGAGAAACTCAAAAGGTCAAAAATTTGCTTTGCACTAAAATCACAAAACATCTATTCTAATTAGACGCGACAGCCACTTCAGTTAAAAAAAATCGCACGCATGCTTTGCAATGAACAGAACGCTTGATTTCACACAGTTACCTATGAGCAGCATATCTAGTGTGAGCGCCAACCGGACCTGTTTACGAAAGTTACTGAGATCTTTGGCGGACTATGCCGAATTGATGAGGTGACGACCAACTACCTAAGGACAACGGTTCAAATTTATATACGCTTGTTACTCATAAGAAACAAGCAACTATACACCAATGTTTATAGATTTCAGAAGCACGGGTTTGTAGCCAAATTCTCTGTTCAGTAAATATATCAAGCAGTGACACCAGCTAGACGCGCTTGAGTTTTCTTCCATCTTTCCAAAGGACCATGGTCAGGATGATATTGAACGCCAACACCATCAGATGCCAAACGACCGGTCCGCATCAGCTCTTGAAATTCTGCCCGCGGCCACTTTGTGAAACCCCAATTGCGTGAAACGGCAATCTGGAGAAAAGAAAAGTTGTTAGTTCATTGACAAACCAGCGAAAACGGATAACCGCATGACTGAGCGCCCGAATATGAATCCGACCATTTGAATATTCAACGGTATACGAAAAAAGTGGAGAAAATAATCACTTTGCTCGTAGGAAACTCAAGCGGACATTTAGCAATAGAACGAGCAAGTCGTATTAGATGTTATATTACTTGACCTCAATTATTACTATACCTCACAATGGTCCAATGCCTGACAGCACCGAAAAAGCGCGACAAGAGAATCATTCAATCATTGGTGTCAGCCAATGCTGTAGAGCTGTAAGCATTTCTTGTAACATCGCATTCTGTTTAAAGCAACATGA